TGGTCTTGTAAGCAGCCACGGACTAACCTCCACGTAGGCAGTGTTCCGGCCTTGAGCACTCCCTGCTCATGAGCAAAGCTGAGATCCTTTCCCAGTTTGTCCCAGGCAGGGACCGTCAAGCTCCCGGAGATGGCGAACCAAGGGGCCACATCATCGCATTCCTCCAGGAACCTCTTAAGGGTATTTTTCCTCAACTTAAGTTTCTTAGAGTTAAGAGCTCCTGTAGAGCCAGAAAAATTGGGTGCGAAGTAGACGCGCCCATGATTCAACTTATACTTTCACTTCGGAGTTCGCTCGTAGGCAAACTGGATTCGCTCGTAGGTGAACCTTGGCGCTCCTACTCTATCTACAGATAGGAGCCATAAACTCCGCTTTTGTCGTGGATCCCCAACTTACCCGGGGACTTACCGGTGCACCCCCTGACCGCTGAAGGTTCTGAGCTGATGGCTTGAGATGGAGTTCCCCGTACAGGCCACCACTTGTTGCACACGACCTCACCAGCAAGGAGACACAACACACAGCTCTTCCTTCAGCAGTTTATTCAGGCCCCTGATTACAAGCTTCTTCCTTTTTCAATCCCCCAGCCCTTGGCTAATATATACTCCCGAGCCCAATCCCAGTGCGCCACGTGGGGATTGCCCATGGGTCCAGCATATGTGGAAGCGAATCATGACTGCAGCCCTGGCCATATAAGGAGTTGTTGTGCACAGAGAGCGCTCACCCACGGGGGGTGGAAGGCGGAAACCAGCGCCATCTTGTAGGCGCAGTCCTTCACAGCTCTCCACAACTCAGCCCTGAGCATGGAGGGGGCTTGAGTTCAGAAATACCTTTTGAAGCAGTTGCAGCTTATAAGCACACAAGCAAACCCCCCCCCAAACCTGCATTCCTAAGAAGACTGTGAAAAGATATGTCTGTTCAAGGAATAATACCACTAAGTGCACCACACTGCTGCGTACTGGAAAAAAATGCAGGCATTGCTGCGCTTGCTGGCTTGCTGCGTGGCTAGCAAGAGCCATGCACTCTGTTCTTGGGCTTTCGGTCATAAACTGCCTTCGTGGCAAGCAAAGATAGAGTGACTTCACTGAGCAGCGCCCGGCCTCACAATGAAGTTGTGCAAGCACTGGGGAAGAGGTGAAAGAGGACATGCTGCCAAGATTGGTAGGACCACACTAAAAGAAACACTCTTCCTTTGGTGTGGATTATTGCATTTTGGAAATCCTCCTTATAAGCCCCAAAGCACCTGCTGAATCACACTTTGATCGCCAAGCTCAGGAAGCAGAGGAAGATGGAACAACTGTGGACTCAGGCACTGGAAACACGCTCAGGTGTCAGCAGTCCGAGAGTCTGCACTGCGTGAGGCCGGAGGCTGTGCTTGGTGAGTTCTTCTGTCAGGAATGTTGGGCTTGGGACGACTGCTCATCTGGAAGGTCTCACTGATGGCCCTGAAAGAAGGTTCCTATTTGAACCTGGTATGTTAGTTGATACCTTGTGTCAACTTGGCTGAATCAGCTAAGCTGTGTGGGGGCCTCGCCCTACAGATGCCCAGAGCCCAGGAACTGAGAAAGGCTTCCTGCCACCCTGCCCCGCTTCTGTGGAGAAGTCCCAGTTTTTGGAGGAGCCTGATCTTTGCAGCCGCGCCTCTTTGGAGGAGCTGTGATCTTCACTGCGGAGCGCCAGTCTTCGCAGTCAGTGCAGAAGGAAGGGAGAGGCTTGATGGCCGCCACAGTGCGCCGCAGCCGCTGCTCCTCCTCTGCTCTTCATTGTTTTGTGCCGCATGAACTGCTGTCATTTGCCTTGGAGCCAGTGGAATATGGACTGAACCCTCCAGTAACTGTAAGCTAAATAAACCTTTCCTTCCTTCATTTTGAGTGTCGGGTATTTGTCCCAGCAACGAGTAAAAAGTAACTAAGACACATGGCTTTGGAACATAACTTTAAAAAGAAACGAGCAAGAAAGCAAAAACTTCAGGCTGCTGGATTAAGCTGATGTGGAGATGCTCAATGTGACTTCCACCATCAGCATCTACTACAGCAGTGTCCAAGTGCTCTCTAATGTCATAGTCCAGGAACTACTTGCAGCACTTCAGAGCATATGTTTGAGAAGCGCAGAGTCCTCAGACTAGATGTGCAAGTAAGCCACAGTACCTTTGATATAACTTCTTAATTATGATTTATCCAGGAACACCAAATCTCAACTCTTTCAATAGTTTAAGAAAACAAGTTAGGGTTCAGAACACATAAAAACTGTTATAAACAATAATGGGAACAATCTTAACCTTATAGAGAAAAAACATTCCACAAGTGTTCTTTTTAAATTATTCATCAAGGGCTGGCCAAATAGCTTAGAAGATTAAAGCACCTGCAAGCAGGCACAGGGGCTGGGGGTTCAATCCCCAGGCTTGCCATGCCAGCCCCGCCCCCAGGGTGCACTGAGACAGCAATTGAGACCAGGCATGGTGGTGCGTGCCTGTAATCCCAGCTCTTGGGAGGCTGTAAACAGGCAGATTACTACAAGTCCAATCTAGTAGTGAGGCCCTGAACACCCTGTAGACCCTTCTCTAAAATAAAAAAAAAAAAAAAAAAAAATCAAGTTGCATGTTGAATCCAAAGTATTACTAAAGGGAAAAACAAAATCAATCAAACAAACAACCAAACCAACCAACCAACCAAACAAACAAACTACTTGCAAGGATAGAGAGGATGGTGCAGCAATAGCTGGTGAAATCAGAGTGGGCTCGCGGTGAATTGGGAGGAGCCGGGCTTCATCAGGCCAGAGTCACTGAGAGTGGTCAGCACGAAGCTTACTCTGTAGGGTTTTGAGTAGTGTTGTAGCGATCGACTTGAGGGAGTTTGTTCTCGCCTTGCTTTTTATTGTAGCCCAGGACAGAAAACAAAAGTGCAACTGGAGTGCTCTTGAAGTGGCCTGGCCTTGGGAGCTGAGCTCTGTGGGCTCCTGTGACTCACTCTGCACAGAAGTCAGCGCCCCAGGTGTGCCACCGTGGGGGGTCCTTCTTCCCTGTGGCTCCTGTGCCCACGTACACACAGGGTGATGGGGAAAGCTCTGACCTGAGCGAGCATGTGGACCGCTCAGCCCTTATTGACAACCCCTGAGCCCGGAGAGCACCAGTGCCCAGCCTGTGGACACCAGGCTGGGGCACGCCGCTGCTCCCCGGGGCTCCCAGGTACACACTAAGAGGATGAGGTTGTCTTAAGTGTGAGAGGACTGCCTTGGGAGGTGTCTGTGTGGGTGAATGTGCTTAGGGGTGAGTGTAGGGGCAAGCAGGGGATGAAGAATTTGTTATGATGTGTTGTTACATTTATTCTATTTTATTACTGGTTATTGCTGTTAATGCTTTACTGTTTCTAGGATTCATTACTGCCCACAGTTTGGGGCATCCATTGGGAATCCTAGAAGGCACAACTACCGTATGTCAGAAAATGGAGAGAGAATAAGGCAGGAAGAAGGAACAGAGGTATTCTGAATGCTCAGGAGAGTAGCTAAGAAGATCAAGTTTGGACAGAGACCTCTAGACAGTGAGGGTTTGGCTAGGTACATATTTCAGGAAGAACTATCCCAGGCAGAAGAGAAATCCTGCAGAAAGGTAGCGGCGCAACTAGGGGGGGTCTGTGGAGCCCTGAGGAGGCCAGCGTGTGAGCCGAGTAAGTAGGGGACAGGAGCAAGCCACCCTGATGCTGGGAAAGGCGCCTGCACAGCTTTGGGCCCCTGACAGGCTTTGGCTTCGCTCCACATGCAGTGAGGTGGAAGCCAGGGGAGGCTGGAGGCAGACCAGATGCTGCCAGCTTAGGGCGGTGTTTAGAGGACTGCCTTGAACTGCTGGGTTGGGCAGAGGCTTTGGGGGCCAGAGGGACAGCAGAGACTCGAGAGGAGTCCTCTGCTGTGTTCTAGGCAGTGGGTAAGAGCCGAACCCTGGGTGTGTACCAGGATGGGATGCTCTCAGAGTCCTCTCAGGGAGCGGCAGCAGGAACTGCAGGCCACCACGTATGCACTGGGGCTGGACCCGAACAACTGAGTGCGCTAGACACGGGCAGCTGGAAGGAGACAGTCCCTGCTGATGAGGGGAAGAGTCAGGAGATGGTCGTGGCTAGGCACAAGAGAATCAGTAGACTCCAGATGCGTCTACTCAGAGGAGGAGTCTAAGGTCCAGGAGAGAATTCTGGGCCAGGGATGCGATTTAGAAAACTGTACAGGGAAAGGTAAAAAATAACTATGCCAGGGGGTGGGCACACCTATAATCCCAGCACTCAGGAGGCCACCTCCTTGTCTTCTTCCTTATCACTGCCAAACAGGTCAGTGTCATTGTCCTTGTCGTTCTCTGCTGGCGCAGCCACCTTCTTGGTTGGGGGCTCCACTTGGTGCATGGGAACCACGTGCTGGGGCTGTGGGGCTGGAGCTCGATGCGTGGGTGAGCTCTTCTCAAGGGCGTTCAGCTGGGCCTGCAGTCTCGATGGCCTGCTGCAGATCCTGCACCGTGCTTCTCAGGTTCTGGCTCTCCACTTCCAGGCTGGCGATCAGACAACACGCTCACTGTGGTCTCCACCAGGCCCACTGGAGACCCCAGGGCCGGAGCTTGCAGCCAGAGATTTGTGCACGTTCTCTCCAGCTCTTGCAACATCACGGAGGATCACGCGGGCACCATTCTCCTGGCAGGCAGCACCGGCCACAGGCCCATTCATCTGCTCGTAGAATTTCCTTTCTGCATCATCATACTTGAACTTGTTGAACCAGCTTTTCTCATGCACTAGGACATTGGTGGCCATTTTTACACCAGCCAAGGACACAGTGACCCTTTGGCAGCTATTTTAATGTCATCACGCGCAAACCCACACTGGTGTCACCCAAGAGCCTCGATTGTCAGACAAGTCTCCGTGCATCCTCCTTCCCTCCCACTCAACACTTCTAAGTGGTTTCTGTTGCAGGAACTATTACTAAGCTTTCAAACTTCATGTTTAAAGTAGGAGAGAGGCTAGCGAACCTAACAGTCCCCTCCTTCCTCTTAGAACTGTCAGTGGGAAAACTTTCTTTCCGTCTAGGCTTCTAATAAACATGGTCTAGAAGGGGAAGTTGGATAAGCATTATTGAGGAGCTGCTTCACACGCTGTCCTAGCTGTGCCCCTTCCACACCCTCTGCACCCCGCGGCCCCCGGGATCCCTTTCATTCCCGTTGTCTTGTGTCTCTTTCTGCGTTTCTCCTCTGAGCGACTCATGTCTCTGGTTGATGATGAAACGGCAAGTGCTTTCTTTTGTTCTCATCTGGCTTTGCATTGCGTCCACCAACAGGGAAACCCTAAGAAGCACTCAGGGAGGTCTGGCCACGCTGTTGGAGAAGGGAGCCCTGGCCGGGACGCCATCTGCCTCCCCTGCACCAGGAGAGGGGCCTTCCCCATCTAGGCAGGACATGAGCCACTGTTGCTTTTCACTGTTTTGTTTTTACACATGATATTGGAAGGCAAATAGCACAAAATAAGCAATTTTCAAAACTAAAGAGAAGGTGGCATGGGCTCACAGGAGCTCACTTCTTCACATCTTG